GAGCCCGGAGACGTGCTAGGGTACCTTCCCAGTGAGGAGGTAAAAAAAAAAAAAAAAAAAACAGAAAAATGGGCCATAAGGGGAGGTGCTGTGTGTACCCACCTGCCTGTCCCTGGGGAATCGGGGGGGGGACGGGGAGGACGCTTGTCAGGAAGAGTGGAATTACAGTGTTTACTCTGCTGGGGGAAAACAGAAGAGCTCCAGGGTAAAGAACTCTAGCACATACTTTTTGATTCCCTTTAATGTAGTAGTGTGTGGCTCAGTGTACCCTGAAACTATAACACTCCCCCAATGTCACATGCATTTTTTCAGAGTGAAGGGAATTAGCTTTCATTAGTTTTTCAAAAATGTGACCCCCAAAAAGGTGAGGACTACCTAATGCCCCACTCCTCTCCCTAGGAGATTTCCCTGTGCTGTGAATCCCTGTCCAGGGAGGCGGGGCTCCTGGCTCTCCAAGGCCCTCCACCACGAGTGCTGCCCCTTCACCCAGGCTGTGGCCAGGCCATTCAGGCCGTGTACGAGGACACAGACACAGGTGCCCGAAAGGTCGTGGTCACTCACTGGCTAGCTGACTTCTCCTTCTCTCTGCCTTCCATCCGACATGTCATTGACTCAGGAATGGAGCTCCGAAGTGTGAGTGACAGAGATGAGGGGAATGAGGCTAAAGAGAGGAAGGGCCACTCTGATCTGTCTTGGCCTTGGTCCGGGGATGGGTGACAGGTTTACAATCCTCGGATCCGAGCAGAATCCCAAGTGTTGAGGCCAGTCAGCAAGTGTCAGGCAGAGGCAAGACGCCTGCGGGTGAGAGGGTTCCCACCAGGTAAGAGCCCTTGCCCTCACCAAGACGGAGCACGAGAAGAGCTGCCGTCATGCCAGCCCTGGGAGTTCTACAGTGGTCTTCTTTCCCAGGTCTTTCTCCCCTCAGGATCCTGCCTCCGCCTGTATCCCAAGTCCTTCCTAGAACTAGAGGCTCCCCTGCTGCCCCCACCCAGGGTATGGGAGGAGAATCTGAGCCCCCTGGTGTTACTGCTAAAGAGGAAACAGATTGCAGAGCCAGGGGAGTGTCACTTCCTGGACCTGCCTGGTGAGCATCCCTCCCACTCAAGTGCGGCCGGCCCTGTGACCAGCGCAGAGCTCGTGTCCTCTAAGCCTCTTTCCCCTCCAGCTCCAGAAGCACTGATGCAGGCCCTGGAAGACTTAGACTATTTGGCGGCCCTGGATGACGACGGGGACCTGTCAGACCTGGGAATCATCCTGTCAGAGTTCCCCCTGGCCCCGGAGCTGGCCAAAGCCCTGCTGGCCTCGTGCGAGTTCAACTGTGTGGATGAGATGCTCACCCTCGCCGCTATGCTCACTGGTATCAACCTGCTATGAGTCAGGGACTCTTAGGACCACGTCAGCCCTGCCCCTTGTGTTTGGGTGCTCCTAAGGCTGGCCCTTTCCTCTGTGCTCTAGTTCACACGCCTCACAACACCTGAAGAGCCAGGCTTAATCACTTTCCCTTCTCCTGTCTCTTTGGCCTCTTCCTGCTGGCTCTTGCCCCTCAACATATTTAAGTCTCTCCCACCTGCTCCCTCTTTCTCCCTTTCTCTGGTCAAATTTAATAATAATAATAATGATAAGTAATACATAAATAAATAATTCTTAAAAGAAAGAGGGGGCTGCAGGCTGCATAGTAGTTACAGCGCTGGACTCCAACATGGCTGACCACAGTTTAAGTCCAGGACCTGGTGGCTTGCTTTCTCATTCTCTCTCTCTCTCTCTCTCTCTCTCTCTCTCTCTGTGTGTGTGTGTGTGTGTGTGTGTCTGGTAAAATTTTTAAATAATAATAAATTAAATTCATAATTCTTTAAAAAGGGACACAGGTGACATGGTGGTTATGGTACTAGACTCTCACATGGCTGACCATGGTTCGAGTCCCAGACCTAGTCGCTGACTTGCTCACTTTCCCCCTCTCTCACTTTGTGTCTCTCGTCTCTCTCTGGTCAAATTAACAAATAAATAAATAAATAATTCTTAAAAGAAAAAGTCTCTCCTACCTGTTATACTAAACTCACACCTCTCTTCCTCAACCCTGTCCCCTCTGTCAGCTATACAAGCATATCTTTATCCTGTTCTATCTGGTCTTGCTCACCCCCTGCATTCCGGCTTCAAGCCCTCCATGCTACTGAAGTAGCTGTCACTCACCAGTGCCCTAGCAGATACCAGATCCAATGGACAGGTTTTACTACAGGGTATAATATTCATTGGAGACAGAGAGAGAGAGAAATCACCCATCCCCCAGAGGGATAGCCACACTGCAGTCCCCTCTCTTCCATTCTCCTCTCGGGATTGTTGACACACAAGCACATGCGCCTCACATGCTTTTTAAGCTACCAGCTTGGGACTTGAACTGTGCAATTGGCCATCTGGGATCCACCATCTTAACCTCCACACCACTTGCTGCCCCTGCAGTGGACAATTTTGAGCCTTTACTCATAACCTTCTTTTGACACGTGAGAGTGCTGACCACTCCCAGCTTCATGCTGCCTCCTCCCTAAGCCTCTGTGATGCTACTGCTTGTGGGGGTTTTTTGTTTGTTTTTTGTTTGTTTGTTTTTTGGAGAGGTTTTTGTCACAGGGCGCGTGCGCTCGCCAGACAGAGAGATAGAAAGCGAGAAATCACCCCCCAGGGGGGATGGCCATGCCGCAATCCCTTCTCCTCCATTCTCCTCGCAGGATCTTGGGCACGCATGCACACGCACCCGGTGTGAGTTTTAAGCCACCGGGTCTGGGACTGGAACCGCAGTTGACTACGTGGGAGTCCAGCGACATAGCCATTACGCTAACTGCTGGTGGTTTTCATCTGACCTCTCTTCATGTTTTTCTTGGGCTCCTCGTCCTCGGCTCAGCCAGTGTAAATTGGTCCTCAGGGTTCTATTTTTGCCCCTTTTGTTTTCTCAGTCCCTGAACTCTCTGAGCAAGTTCATCCACACCCATGGTTTGAAATGCGACCTTAAAGGACCAGCAGATAGCATAATGGTTACATTGCTGAACTCCCATGTAGTCAACCCTAGTTCAAATCCCGGACCTAGGAGCTTGAAACTCGCACTGGGCCAAGTGTGTGCATGTTCAAGATCCCAAGAGGAAAATGGAGGAGACGGGATTGTGGTATGGCTATTCGCTCTGAGAGCTAATTCCTTGTTTTCTATCTCTCTGACTCTGTCTCTCTGGCAAGTACACATGCCCTATACCAAAAATCTCTCAAAAAAAAAAAAAAAAAAAGAAATATTACCTTAAAATTTCCATGCCTCTGGGCCAGCAGGTGGCATGATGGTTCGGGCACTGGACTCCCACATGGCCAACTCCAGTTCGAATTGTAGACCTGGAAGCTTGAAACTCATGTGTGCATCCCCAAAATCCAAAAGGAGAATGGAAAAGAAGTGATTGCAGCATGGCCATCCTCCCAGGGAAATGATTTCTTGCTCTGTGATGAGCATACATGCCCTATGGCAAAAATCTCTCTTAAAAAAAATCTTTTCTTTTGGGACCAGCAGATGGTGTAATGGTTACGTCGCTAGACTCCCATGTAGTTAACCAAGGTTCAAGTCTCAGGCACAGTGGTTTAAAACATGCCAGGCACATGTGTGTGCATGCCCAAAATTCCGAGAGGAGAATGGAGGAAAAGGGATTGTGGTGTGGCCATTCTCCCAGGGGGTGATTTCTTGCTTTCTGTCTCTCTGTCTCTGACTCTGCATTATGTGCACTCATCCTAAAGCAAAAGTCTCTCTCTTAAAAGAAAAAGGAAAAGAGGGACCAGCAGTTGGCGTAATGGCTATGTAGCTGGACTCCTATATAATTGACCGCTGTTCGAGTCCTGGACCCAGTGGCTTAAATTCACTCCATCGCGTGTGCGTGCGTGCCCAAGATCCTGAGAGGAGAATGAAGGAGAAGGGATTGTGGTGTGGCCATCCTCCCAGGGGGTAATTTCTCTCTGTCTCTCTGTCTTTCTCTGTCTTTCTGGAGAGCACACATGTCCTATAGCAAAAAAACAAACAAACAAAAAACCTCTCCAAAAAAAAGGAAGAGAAATAAAACTTGCACCAGGCATGTGTGCATGCATGCCCAAAATCCCAGGTGAAGAATGAAAGAGAAAGGATTGCAGCCCAGCCAGCCCTCCCAGGGGGGAGGGGATGGGGGGGGGGATGATTTCTTGCTTTCCTTATCTCTCCAGCAAGCACATGAGTCCTATAGCAAAAATCTCTCTTAAAAACACTTTTTCCCCATGCTTTGTACCCAGTATCTCTCTGCCAATACCATTCTTGGTGGGGCCAAGGGTATACCCAACTGCTGATGTATAATCTCTACCAGACTAGCCCACAGTACCTCAGCTCAGAACTAACATTTAGCACTCCGTTCAACAACCCCTCACCACCATTACTACAAAATCATTTCCTTTCTCTGGATTCAGTTTCAGATAATACCTTCATCTCTGCTGTTCCACTGCTTTTTCTAGACTAACCCTTCTCCAGTTCCTTTCATTTCTACCTCCCAATGTCTTTTTTTTTTTTTTTAAGAGAGATTTTTGCTATATGGTGCATGCACTCACTGGAGAGACAGCGACAGAATGCAAGAAATCACCCCCACCAGGGGGACTGGCCATGCTCAACCACAATTCCGTCTCCTCCATTCTCCTCTTAGGATCTTGTGCATGCATGCACATGTGCCCACTACGAGTTTAAGCTGCCAGGTTTGGGACTCAAACTGCTGTTGACCACATGAGAGTCCAGTGATGTAACCATTACGCCATCTGCTGGTTCCTCCAATGTCTCTTTTTTTTTTTTAAGAGGTTTTTGCTATAGGGCACACGCGCTAGCCAGTAAGACTGAGAGCGACAGAGAGACAGAAAGCGAGAAATTACCCCCCCAGGAGAGATGGCCGCACCACAATCCCTTCTCCTCCATTCTCCTCTCAGGATCTTGGGCACACACGCACATACACCCAGGGTAAGTTTAAGCCACCAGGTCCGGTACTTTAACCACAGTCAACTATGTGGGAGTCCAATGACATAGCCATTATGCCAACTGCTGGTCCCTGTCTCTTTTTCCTAATTCATCTGCTATTTTCCATATTCACTGCCAGGGTCAATGTTAGACCCTCATCATTGCTCAGTCAGCTTCCTTCAGTAGCTTTCTACTTACTCAATGAATTTTTCAAACACATGACTCTCTTATTTAAAAACTTGTCTTTAACAGTTATTCTTTACCTTCAGGACACACAAAAACTTGCACGTATCCTATCCAGCCTCTCAGGCTTCATCTGTAGTCTGCCTCCCATACCAGGTGGCTTGCAGTTCCCAAATATCTCATGCTATTAACTTGCTATGCCTTGCTCTTCTTGAAGTCTAGGATGCCCTCTCTGCCTCATTTACACTGAGCTTATTTCTACTCAGACTTCAAACATCAGCCCAAGAGGCTCATCCTTTCATCCCAGATCACCCTCATTCCTAGCACACACAGCCTGGATTAGGTGCCCTATTTGTTTCTCGAGTACCATATGCATACTCCTATCGTGCCTACCAAGCCTGCTTCCTTGCTGGTCTCTCCCACCAGAATCTAAGCTTTTTGCAGGCGAAGACTATTTATCTTCAATGTCTGATGAAATGCATAGTACTTAAAACTTATCAATGCCCCCACCTTTTTAAGAGAGATTTTTGCTGTAGGGTACATGTGCTCGCTGGAGAGACGGAGAGACAGAAAACAAGAAATCACACCCCCCCCCGGGGGGGCAGATGACCATGATGCAATCTCTTCTCCTCCATTCTCTTCTCCAGATCTTGGGCACAGGTCTGGGACTTGAACCATGGTTGACTACATGGGAGTCCAGTGACATAGCCCTTACACCATCCTCTGGTCCCTCTCAATGTCTTTCCAAAGGAAAACTTTCAGCATTCCACTTGTACTATCCTTTCTCGTTTCCCAAAACTACATTCCTTTCTTCTGCCTCTAGCTGCTCCCGGGTTTACCCGTCCTCCCCTCTGTGCAAAAGAAGCTGCCCTGCGTCGGGCCCTGGAACACGCAGACGGTGACCACAGCTCTCTGATCCAGGTGTACGAAGCCTTCATACAAAGTGAGTGGCCTACTCTGTATCCTCTTCTAGAGTTCCAGATTTTTCCAAAGAGAAGTGGTTTGCAGCCAGTTGACAGATCTCTGTCCCTGGGAAGAAGAGGCCCTTTGGCCAAAGGCTGGGTGTTTTCAGGGGTCTCGAGAACTTCGTCGTAGCTAATCTCTTTCCTCTCCTAGATGGAGCAGATGAGACTTGGTGCCAGGCTCGGGGTCTAAACTGGGCAGCATTGTGCCAAGCCCGTAAACTCCGGGAAGAGCTCCTAGAACTCATGCAGCGAATTGAACTTCCCTTGTCCCAACCAGCCTTCGGCTCTGAGCAGAATCGCAGAGACCTTCAGAAAGCACTGGTGTCAGGATACTTCCTCAAGGTTAGGGGAAAGGATTGGGGTGAGGGTGGTAAACGATACAAAAGGAGCAAACGTCGGCCTGCCATCTCTGAAACTGGGGTCCAGGCGGCCATTCAAAAGTTTATTTTGAACCAGAAGGGACTTTCCCTTTATAACTTTGGGGGACAAGGGACTATGGAAAATGCCATTGGTATAGCAGGGACCAGGCACCACCTGGTAATGCTTTACTTTTATCACTCTCACCACCCTCACTAATTCTGTCTCAGCCCTCCCTCTTGTCTTTTCCTACTGTCTGACTCTTCCCTTTTACTCATTCCTTTAATGTCTCTGCCTTTCAATGAGGTGGCCCGAGACACAGACGGGACTGGAAACTACCTGCTTCTCACCCATAAACACGTGGCCCAGCTCTCTTCAAACTGCTGCTACCGGACCCGCCGGGCTCCTGCCAGGCCCCCACCATGGGTGCTTTACCACAGCTTCTCCATATCCAAAGACAACTGTCTTTCCATTGTTTCTGAGATTCAGCCACAGATGTGAGTTTCCCGACACTCCTCTTACACTGCCCATTCCTCTCCCTGGGGCTGAAATTATGACTAGACAATTAAGACTTTTTTTTTTTGGAGAGGTTTTTGCTATAGGGCACGTGCACTCACCAGACAGACAGAGACAGAGAGACAGGAAGCGAGAAATCACCCCCCGGGGGGGATGGCCATGGCACAATCCCTTCTCCTCCATTCTCCTCTCGGGATCTTGGGCACGCACGCACACACACCTGGCGTGAGTTTAAGCTGCCGGGTCTGGGATTCGAACCATAGTCGACTATGTGGGAGTCCAAAGACATAGCCATTACGCTAACTGCTGGTCCCAGCAATTAGACTTTGAGGAGGGAATCTTAGTGGTTTGTAGTAACATGATTTGAAGAATTTGTGGAAAGGGTGGTGAGAGGTTTTAGGTCTACATTATAAGAGAAGATACAAAACATCTCATTATGGCTCTCTCTGTCAGGCTGGTAGAGTTGGCCCCTCCATACTTCCTGAGTAACCTGCCCCCCAGTGAGAGCAGAGACCTCCTGAACCAGCTGAGAGAAGAAATGGCAGAGTCTTCCACAGGGAGTGAATCCTCCTCAGCCCAGGAGTTTGGAGATGCCTGTGTTCTGCAGTGATCTGTCTGCTGAGGAATGGAACTGAGCTCCTCTGTTGCATTAGATCCTCCCTCAGGCTAGTACCAAGGCGGGCAGCCAGATCTAGAAGCCCAAAGTTTAGGGCCAAATGTAGACCCTAGTGCCTGAATCCCAAGAAATGATGGACTCGGCGTGGAGAGAGTAGGGGAAGTCACAGTCTCCTTAGGGTAGGACCCTCTCCTTAACCTTCTCTGTTTATTGGAGAGGGACCGACATGCTGCCTGTTCCTCCAACTTATGTCAAACCCACTCTTGTACTCTCTTTTGGTTTATAAAAGATTTTTCTATGATACTCAATTTTAATTTGGTTCTGCAGCACCATGTACAACACCCATGAGTCAGAGGTGAAATTCTATCAAAGATCCAGGGCCAACCCCTCCAGCAGTAGCCTCCTCCCTGGTTCCTACCTCTAGTCAAGACCTTGTGTAATGAGGGATGTTGCTGTCACCTGCACAAACAAGAGTGGTCTGGCTACAAGGTCTCTGGCCCTGCCCGACTTCCCTCTGCCGCAATGCCCCGCCCTCCAGGAGAGGGAACATGGGGGAGCTAAAGGAGTCAGTCAAAGTCTTTCCCTTCTTTCTCATACAAATTAAATCCTACTTCCTGTTAAACCTGAAGGCAACCATCCCCTAACCCAACTTTCCACCAACAAGCCCCCATCTCAAAGTGACATCTCTCCAGCAGCTTTAGTGACATCATGCTTTCCCTTCTTTCCACTCAGTATTCTCTCCCCTTCCCTGCCCTTGGCCTATGAAATTTGGTGTCCTCTGCCATCTTGCACAATGTATATGTTTGTAGAACTTGGTAGGAAGACAAGTTTGGTCCTTAGAACCTTGCTTTTGTCCTCAGAGTTCTCTCCCTCAGATTCTGTTCTCATCCTTCCATCGGCCTCCACCTCTATGTGTCTGTCAAGCAGTCCACCCCGGAAGCACTTCTGATTGATTCTCTCTGGGTCTAGCATTAAATTTCGCCTACAGAGCTAACCTTACTCCGATCTCCCCAGTTTCCCCTTCATTATCCACAGCACCACTGAGTTCCTGATCCCAATCTTGGCATTATTTTTTATTCTTAGGTTCACCACTTCCAAATCATTTGTCCAATTCTGCTTACCCTAACTCTGCAGGACCCATTAACATGTCCACTGTTTCCTCCTCCCCGTCTCTGTCCCTGGGGACGCCAAGGCAGGATTTTCTTCCTCGACGTTCTCTTTCTTAGGGTGTGTAAGTCCCTCCTGCCTGCTGCGCAGGGCGGAGTGAGGCTCACATGGGAGGGCGTGGCCAGCAGGCGGGACACACAGCACGAGGCACAGCCAGGAAGGACTCCTTAGGTTATTTGACAGCTAAGGGATGAGATGTCCAGGGCAGACAGCCCTCTGGTTCCTGTCACAATCAGCCAGACTCTGGCGCTCGGGCACCTCCTCCATCACTCTTTCGCTGGCTTCTTCCTTCACTCCTCGGGTACCTTCCCAGCTCTTCGCGGAATGCTGCTGGCGCCCCCACCCCGGCTCGCCCCCCGCCACCCGCTGGAGACACCCGAGTCCCTCAGGAAGGCATCTCCCATTGGCCAGCCCGCGCCCCTCCCCGCACCTCAATGGCTAAACCCGTGCCGCGCGAGCCCCAC